AAGTGTATGTCATATAAAAACTCAAATAATGGTCAGAGTTGTCATATGGAATATTTAAAGTGTGTTGATTGATTCACGTCGTGATCTCATGCACTGAGTAACATTACAAGTTAACGTTCCACCTTAAATGTTGCCAGCAGTCGGCCCAATGAATGAAGTTATTTTTCTCAGACTACAGCTGCTGCAAGAGGCAACAAAACATCCTTTCATTTTATAGTTACCGTTTACTAAGAAAACTCCACAGTATGAACAGTGGTTACATGAGCCTCAAAACCAGCCACAACTCAGCCCTGACCAGAGTGACTATCTGCTACTCACCAATCAACGGACTGCAGTGTTCACAGCTCCACCTTTTCGGTGTTAGGTACCCCAACAGAAGGGGTACCAAAAATGGTAATGGTACAGAATGGTTCCATTGGTACCATCCACAACTTTTTGCAATGGAAACAGCAAAAAGCGTATCGAACTGAACTGAACCATACCAATCTGCTCGTTGGAAACGGGGCTCAAATGACATGTGCTGTCCGTCTGTGTTTTGATCTCCTCCCTCTCTGTTTCAGCACTATAACAGAGAGCACCCTGATATACAAGTATACCTACAAAAGCCTAAAATGATTATGGCACAGTGATTCCATGCCAAACCAGCAGAATTCTTGCAAATGGACGGTTTATCTGTGAGTCTGGTTATACAGTGATAGGAGTTATGATAGGAGACAGCCAAGCTTCCTCAGTTGCACCTGGGGAGCACTCATTGATGTCATCCTGCATTATTAGCTATGTGCTTTTGTTTACTTAGAAACAATTTAGTGTGGACAGTGAGAGAAATAAAATAAGTATGTCTCAGAGTAGATTTATTGAATTATCATCATGGTCTGACCATAATGAATGGTCAGTTGTTGGAACTGGCCATTGCATTAGTGCTGCACGGTATACCGGTACTAAAATAGTACCACGGTACTAGAGTATTCCAAACAGTGCTATACTGCATTCGGAAAATACTGGTACTTTGAAACTGATTCAATTCATTAATTTAGTTAATTTATTTTACTCAATTATGCACACAAATGCCTTTCTTGTTCCTACTGGAGCACAGATTAAGCAAGTGGTGTGTATGACAACACCTGTATCAACATTCACAGCTGGCGCACGTGAAAAAAGACAAGAGAAAGTCTGCCTCGCAAAGGGAGACAACACGAAACAACACAAACTTGGTGGAACATTTGAGTTACCAAACCGTGACGTCCGTACCGAGGTACTTACCGAACCATGATTTCTTTGGTACCATTACACCCCTACTATTTATTGTTCTAAAGGTTTGTATCCAAAAGGACTTTTCCTTAGGAAAAGTGCCGAAGAGTATCGAAAAGTACCGAAATTCATATTGGTATTGGTACCGAAACAAAGATTTTGGTATCGTGACAACACTACATTGCATATTTGATCTCTTTATCCCTTTCTCTGGTTGGAGCATTCAAGGCAGCAGTAATATTGCCATGGTGATGAAGCTTAAGAACAAGCTTCTCAGGTTTTCTTCATGGACACAGAATAAATGGTTGTTTCCATGGTGATCTGAGGTGTGGTGAAGCAGAGAGGTGTAATCTGGTGCAGGCTAGTTACTAGGGATGTAACGATCCATCGATCTGGATCGATATATATCGATTTAATGATCAACGGTCCAATCACATTGATGCAAGGTGAAAACATCTATCCATATCGTCATCTTTAAGATGCCCAAAAGAAAGACGATGAAGATAACATTATTTACTCGGGAATAAATCAGAAAGAGCACATGGCGTATGTAAACAATGCTGTTACGAGATAAAACATGACGCAACATTACCTGCCTGGACGAGCATCTCACTCCGCTAAGTTCTTGCTGTAGCAACATTAGCTGCTCCGTTTTAACAATGATCGGCTGAAAAACCGTGCATGCAGGCTGAAATTCAACCAAGCTGTTTTGTCAGGAGATACAGTGACTTTAAACACCAATAATAACGCTGCATGTAATTTGTTAAGCTATGAGTAGAGAAAAAATGTCTGCTAGCCACTGGGCTAATTTATACAATGTACATGTACGTGCTAAAGCTAATAATGGGTGATTAACAAAAAAAAAATGTGTTGTCCATGAACCTTGACAGTTAATACTGAGCTGAATGTTATACTTTTGTTGAATGATCTTGTTGTTAATCTGTGTTTTATGGCTATTTGGAGAAGTTTTCCTTCAGGGCTTTAAGCCAGATATTCCTTTAGTTTTATGAAAAAGATTATGGTTTGGGTTAAAATGAAAAGATTTCGTCCAGAAAGGTCTCTCTGACAGAAAGCCATAAAGGTTAGCTTATCCTATGTGCTGTTTTATTTGTGTCAGTTAAAACTGAACTTTACTGCACTTATTATTTATGTTATGTGTTTTATGGCCAAAAGTAAAAAAAAAAGAAAGGGGTGGCAGCGCCTTCTGTAACAGACTGTGTTAAATGGGCATTTAATATCGCCTAACATCGATCACAGACCCCCGAATCGTTCTGAATCGAAATCGTATCAGACTTTGTAATATCAGAAAATATCGTATCGTTGTCCAAAGAATCAATATTGTATTGCATGGTAATGAAACTAGTGATTTACACCCCTAATAGTTACTGAGCATTAGTTCTGACAGCTATGGCTGCTACTCCCAAGCAGCTGGGAAAGAGGGTGGAAAGGAACTTTAACAATTAAGGCAATTTGTGATATTTCTGCTGGTTTGGCATGTGGAGAATCACTGTGCCAGAATAATTTTAGACTTTTGTATTTGTATAGATTTATTAGTGTTAGGGCTACTGTCCATGGTAATGAAACAGAGCAGGAGGAGATCAATAGGCAAACGGAACATGTCAGTTACATCAGTTCATGGTTGAGGACCCTATGGAATCTAATTCCACCCCCACTCCCTCTCCCAATGTAGCTATCCACAGACAGAGGGGGAATACCAGGAACAAGAGAGAGAGAGAGGCTCAAATTCCCTACTGATCACATTTGTTTATTAATCATAGCACTAACATGTCGCCTGCAGAGAGCTTTTTGAGCTGAACCTCTGAAGAGTTCTCTGTAAAATCCACATGGTGGGAGGCGGTTAGAAACAGTCGTTTCTAAGTGTTAAACACTTCACATTATAACATAAAACATTTCACGTTATAACAACACAATAGTATATTGTTATAACAAGTTTTTTTTTTTCAAGAATTGTTTCTTGTATTAGCGTGATAAGTTTGTGTGGCATGAAAACACACTTTAAAAAAAAAAAAAATCTATTTTTTCACTCTTTTGTCACTAACACACAGGTCCGAAAGAAACTTGCTAAATAAAATACAAATATCTCAGCATGGTTACACTGGCAGTTTGAATGATACAGACAGTAAAGGTACCTGTAGGTGTCTCCGATGCGATCACGGAAATAAAGAAAGTCCCTGTGATCATGGAGCAGGAGGTCCCCAGTGTTGAAATAGATATCTCCAGCTTGAAACACATCCCGTAGTAATTTCTTCTCAGACTGGGCCTGGTTGCCAGCGTAGCCCAAGAACTGGTTCATAGCAGTCAGAGGAGCTACCAGGATCCCTGCCTCTCCTATGCATAGAAACAAGAAGTCCATTTAGTGGACACATGCACTCTTCCTCTGAACATACAGCTATGTACTACAGACGTTCATGTTAAAGAACTTAGAAGTGTATTAATACCCATTTGTGCTCGTATGCATCTTCCAGAGTCTGTTCTGACTGGCTCGTACGTTTGTGGATCATATCTCAGGAGTTCAAAGGGCATAGAAAGCTGAAAAAGAAAAAATGATGAGAGTTGTGGCTTGATGAGCCATTGCTTTAGCAGTTACCATCTGACTGATGGGTTCCAGGCTTCATAAGGGCATTGCTTTATACCATACAGCTAATGAATTGTTATATACGTATCATCTCACTACACTGCTCAAAAAAATTAGGGGAACACTTAAATCACACATCAGATCTTGATGAAAGAATTATTCAAGTTGAAATTCTTAACTGATGTACATTGTAGAATTTGTTGAGAACAAAATGACGTAACAACAGTCAGTGTAAACCAAAATCATCAACTAACTGAGGGCTCAAAAATCACTTAAAATCAATTTAAGTAAAAAAATGAAAATTGAAATCACAGGCTGATCCAACTTGCATGAATTCTATCACAGCAACTCATAATGTGACTCAGTAGTGTGTATGGCCTCTGAATATCTGTATACACTCCGGACAACGTCTGGGCATGCTCCTGATGAGTCAGCTGACGGTGTCCCGGGGGATCTCCTCCCAGACCTGGATCAGGGCCTAGGCTCCTGGACAGCCTGTGGCAGTACTAGGCGACGTCAGATGCACTGATACATAACTTACCATTGGTGCTCAATTGGATTTAGGTCGGGGAACAAGACGGCCAGTCAATGGGTGCAGTTACATGATAGCTTCTCATTCAGAATGAAATAAATCTGAATGAAATCATTCGGAATTAAAGTCTTTCCATGTAGTCAACATGGGAAATATTCATTCCGAATGAGGGTTTACACGGGAGATCAGTTTAATCGCCTTTTAATCGCCTGTATTTGGGTCCGTGCAAGGTTTGGGGCAGGGAAGGTTTCTGATTGATAGGGGGCGGGGCAGATGTTACATGTTTACGTATACTGGAAGAAAACACTGTAGTCCTCGCTCCGGATAACAAGATGCTTGACGACGCTGTTCTTAGTGCCTTTTTCGGGCTTGTTTTGCTTATATTCTTGAAGCAGCAGTACGACAACAACCTTGTTCTGCTAATGCTTCGTCTGTTGAGGAAGAGAAGGGAGGTAGAAGGTCGAAGAAGGGAGATAGAAGACCGTGCTTTGGCGAATGGAAACCGCTTAGTGCAACAAGTCTGACTGCTCTATCTCAGCCCGTTGCTATGCGCGCTATATACGTCATCACGATGCAGAAAGACCAGAATGAACTTAAAGAGGAATGAGTGTATACAAGTGCAAGAAATTCTTTCATTCGGAATTAGAAACAGAATATTCCAGCCCCTTACATCGGATTGAATTTTCAATTGCATTGGCCATTTTCATTCCGAATTAGGTGTTTACAAGATCACTTTTAACAGGAATGAACTTTCATTCTGAATGAAAAGGGAATTAAACTGTCCATGTAAAAAAACTCATTGACATCAATTCCTTTGTCATCCTGAACTGCCTACACACTCTGGCTACATGAGGCCGGGCATTGTCCTGCACCAAAGTTATAATAGTTTTGGATTTTTCATTAATTTTAGTTTTTATTCTGTCTTGACATTTTGTTTTTAGTGTTAATTTTAGTTTTTTTGTAAATTGTGGTATTTGTGGAGTGCAAGATTCAAAATCATCAGAATAAGTATTGTACAAGAAAAACTCAACAAAAGATTCATTCATTCATTCGTTCGTTCATTTTCGATAACCACTTATTCTTCCGTAACCGCTTATCCTCTTGAGGGTTTTAAAATGGATCAAGAGAACAGATGAGTAGTCATCCACAAATCAAATATAACAGTCCACAAGATAGCAGCCCTAAACGCAAAATGTGTGCAATACTGCTTCTGAGGTTAGATGCAGGTAGTGTGCAGGGTAAAAATCAACATAGCCAATAGACTAAAGACACACATAAACATAACAACATGATCCCATTCATGAGACACGTCACATTGCTTAGCAGCCAGAAGTCTCTGGGAGCTCAATCCAAGAAAAACCTGAACAAACTCAAGAACCCAATAAACTCTACACTATGATGAAGCATGAAGCATGGTGCACTTTACATTCTTACTCAGGTTCTTAAACTTATTTCTTTGTTTTTGCTATTTTTCTTTATATTTCTTTATATTTCTAATTCTTTTTATTTTTTTTATAAACCTCTTGAATCTTGAATAGAGGTTTGATTCATTTAGATGAACCAACTCAAAACTACTTACATAACAATTGCACTAGAGGTGCAGCAGCTTTATAGCAAATCACTGCAGTTGACTAACAATACTTTACCTCGCATGTTATATTTGACATCATAAAGTGAATACAGTGAATGTTTTAGACACTGGAAGTGCACACGTGTGGTAGAACACAGAGCCCCACAGATGGTTAAGATACTGCTCCATCTCAGCTGGACGCTAATGTGCTTTACTTTATCATGTAAAACTTACATAGCCCTCTGTCCAACATTGTAAACAAAAACAAATTGAAGTCTTTGCCTTATGAATGAATGAACTATCTCAAACACAGCTTTTCAAGATTTTGTGTGTGTGTGTGTGTGTGTGTGTGTGTGGGTGTGGCTGGCTGACTGTGTGTTTGTGACTGTGTGAATGTGTGTGTGTGGGTGTGTGGGTGTGTGTGTGTGAGAAAGAGAGTGATGGGTGTACTTCAGTCAAGCAACATTTCTTGTTTTCTTGAGGAAAACACGCTGCTCCAGAAATATGGTTGTTCTGTTTCTCAGGGCAGATGACAACAGTCCACACACAGAGAATATTCACTCTAAAAAGGCTTGTGAGGCAGGGGCACTAACAACATCCAATGCCACGGGATACGTTTTGGATAGACAGCGTCTCTTGATCTCCAGACCTGCAATGGTGTCTCATTAAACACACCCTGTTTGGCGTCATAAAAATACTTCTTCATTTCAGTCAACAGACTATTGGTCACATCAGGCTAATTTGTCAATGACATGTTGACCTCCATATGGTATGCAAGGAAGCAGTATTTTTTTAAGGACAGCAGGAAGGGAGCTTATTGGAGTTTGAGTGGCCCTTGCAGTAGCAACACCATTTTGAGAAAAAGTAGCTGGGTTATACTGTGCAGCCAGGTTTTGCACTAAAGACTGTGCTGCCCTTCTCACTGGCACTGTGTCTGGTGTTTGGAGAACTAGCAAAACACTTGGATCCATTAGGCAGGCTGCTACTGGTTTAGCATCAAACTGTGGGGAATCGGGGCTAAGAGTGGCAGCAAAACGTTCTCACAAGGACTTCAGCAGCACTTGAGCTAACTGCTTCCCAGCAGTAGTCGTCAGCAGGTGTGCCTCAAGGGTGAGTAGGCACTGACTTAGTGGTAGAGCAGGCGCCCCATGTACAACGCTGTTGCCGCAGCGGCCCGGGTTCGACTCCAGCCTGTGGCCCTTTGCTGCATGTCACTCCCTCTCTCTCTCTCCCTTTCACACTTGTCTGTCCTATCAAATAAAGTTAAAAATGCCCCCCAAAAAAATCTTAATAAAAAACAAAAAGGTTGAGCAGGCATGTCACTACTTGTGAGAGTGACTGGCTGTCACTCTGAGGGCTCTAGTTTCCCGGCTCAGCGCAGGGTGGCGCAGGGTGGCGAACCCCACGCAGAGCTAGTTTCGAGCAGCGTAACCTGAGGCGCGCTCAGTTTGGTAGTTTGGCAGACCGAGGTGCGCTGAGACGGGTGTGGCGGTGCAGCAGGGGGAGGTGTCGACAGATCCAGCTTGGCGCAGTGACAGTTTCGTGCCAAAAGGCTTCACCGAAGGTGCACTAAAAGCTCGCCATCTGAAACCAGGTCTACTGTCAGCGCAGGTGGAGCGCAGCTGGTGTAAGCCAAAGTTTGGCTGACCGGCGGACAGTGCACACACGTCACCAAAACCTCACAGGCAGGTTTCCAGAATATCAGGCACATAAACGATGCAATAAATAGCCACAAAACCACTATTTAATGCAACTATCTGCAATCAGCACATAAATGTATCTCTATATCGACTGTCCCGTCACATCTGATGTCAGATCAAAGGGGATTGGCACCGTTTGGCACACTTGGCACGTGTAATGGAAACCCAACCTGATTTGATTAACACAGCTGCAAACTAATGAGTTCATATCCCTCTCAGCCAACCACAAACAGCCACAGCATCAGATAGGGAGTATATATTCAGCATCTGTCATCTTAGAAAAGTCAAAAGAAAAGAAACAGTGAGACTGTGAGAGAGAAAGAGAGAGCGCGTGCGCACGAGAGAAACGCAACATTGATTTACAATTGTGGTGACCTCCTCCCAGGCTACCTTTGCATCATCAGCCCGTGGAGGTCTGCTCGCAGTTCCGTATATTCGGACACTGCGAGCTTGGACCTCCCGGACCAAAACATCAGTTTCCTCCTGGGAGAAGTTTGGCTGTCTGACGCTGCTGCTCTCTTCTGCCATGGCGAATTGAGTAAACTCTCATTATGCCTTCGCGCGGCACATTTAAGGGCGAGGAGAGGGGCTCATTTGATTGGTGTGATGTGTGTAAAACCCACTCCACGCCTTCTCTCCTCCCTCTTTCCGACTTGCGCAGGTAGGAGGGACGGAGGTGGGAAAGAGGAGTAGCTGCGCCAGGCGCACGGTGTGCCAAACTTACAAAATCCGCCTGGCCACACCCAGTTGGCCAAGCGCAGGTGCCGCGCCCGGTCTGCAAAACTAGAGCCCTGAGGCTGGTCTGTGTGAATGGCAAAGGGCTCAAGCAGCTTGACCAGGTTCTCAAGCTTAGTCCAATCGCTGAGGAAAAGTGTGCCCATGCCTAGCTCCTCAAGTACTTGGTTTAGTTCAGCTCTGATCTCCAGCGGTCTTCTTGCATATCTATTGTGCTGTTCATGCATGTGTTACAATCCTGGACCAGAGTTCTGCCACACTTTTTAATCATTGCTATATTTGCCACTAACGATTTCCCCATAGCATGTACCAGGTTTCTCGCTCTTGTTATGAATGAATCAGCATTTCGGTGCTATATGGCATCTTTCAATATCAATCTGAAGGGTGTTCAGCTCACACTGTTCTCCCCAACATCTG